GATTTCCTTCCGAAAATCATTCAAATTATTATATCGATATATGTAAATACATAATATATAAATATACAATATATACGTAAATACTTACGCACAACAATGACGTTGATTTCTATACTATCCTCTCCATGTGGATTAGTTAATTTTAGAGTATAATCACCACAATCTTTCTCTTGTACATCTCTGATTATTAAGACGGCTGAACATTCATCAATGGATGGAATAATTCGTTTAGATTTTTTAAGAATATGGCCATTGACGATCCACTCATCAATTGGAATTGGCTTAGCCGCGAATTTGACAACAATATCAATGTCATCGCCTTTCATCGTTTTATATTTTTTAAGCGTATCAGGATGAATTTTAGGCGATGTTTCAATAACTGCAACAAGAGACGCACATAAATGAAATAATATCCAAATTATTATAGACTAATAAAGAAGAGAACGAAGATTAATAGCGAATTCGATTGGACTCTCAGTACGCATTAGTGCACATTAAAACCCATATACACATCATTTGATATAAAGATTTGTATTTATTATAAATATAGAAACCGTGAAATACTTTACTGTGCTGTTAGGTAAAATATATTTTATAATTCGAAATATTTACATCTTACTTTTACATTCAAATTAACAACTTCATATGCCTCAGTGCCTTAATCGAATTCGCCATAATACTATTGAAAATACCTTACGCACACACACACCCACAGACACATAAGACCTATTTTAAGTTATTTATATACTTAAAGAAAATACAATACGCAATCTTATAAAATTTACCTTCGATTTTTAATCTCGATGATGTTTTCACATTGGCAACTGTAGCAGTATATTCAGTGATATCTTCGGTCGTGCATTTTTTAACAATGAGCTTTTTAACATTTCCTTCGTCGATAACATTATATTTCGATTGTGCACAATCGATCATTTCATTTTTCCTATACAAATTTCACATAAGTTTATATATATTATATATTACAATATAAAGTTTATATATACTAAAGTTTATATATACACATTATATATACTATACATATTTGTTTCAATTTTATTAATTATAATTGTCAAAGAAATTAACTTTTTCAAATATATTTTTTTATTTTGATAAAATTTAACTTACTTTAACCATGTTACCGGTACATCGGCACGTGATAATTCGATAAGAAAAGTTGCATCAGTGTTGAGAGGCACTAAAGTAATATCTGGTAATTTTTTAATAAAATCTACTTCAGATTCTTCGACTGTCAGTCTGGCTAACGAAGTTTGACCACCAACTTGACAGGAATAGATTCCTGCATCTTCTACTTCAGTGTCATAAATTTTCAATTTTTGTCTTTTGCCATCGATTGACAATCGCACGTGCTCAGAAAATTGCAATTCTTGTCCGTCTTTGAACCAGCGTACCAGAGCGTCACCTTTTGTTAATTCTATGTCGAAAGTTGCTTTCTCCCCTGTAGCTATAGTTATGTCTTGCATTTTGATAATAATCTCCGGTGGTAATTCGACAACTGTAACTTCCGCTGTACACTCTTGATCTAGAAGAGCGCATGTGTATTCGCCTTCGTCGTGAACCGATGTATTCCTGATGAAAAGTTTCCTTATGGTACCATCTTTCATAAATTCTAGTTTTCCTTTGCTTGGTGTTAATAATTCACCATCTTTTCGCCATGTGACATCGGCTGTTTGAGATGTGATCTCAACCTCTAAAATCGCCACGTCGCGTTCTTTTACCTCAAAGTCTTGCAATTTCCTGACGAATTCTGGCTTGGTAGCCTTAACGATAACATTGCTAAACGTCATTTGGTTCTTGACAGTACATTTATATGTTCCTGCATCGGAAAGACTACTTTTCTTAATAAGTAACTTGTGTAGACGTCCTTCCTGAATTATCTCGCGATGATCCATCCCGCTAATTTCTTTATCATTGTGCCACCATATCGTAGAAACAGTATGGGATGTTTCACAGCTTAATTCTAGAGTTTTGTATTCGTTGACTATGATTTCATTTTGCAAATTCCTCGTGAAAAAAACTTTAGCAACATCTACTGTGACTTTTGCACCGTGAGAAGCTTTTCCGACTGGATTACTAGCGACACATTTATAATCTCCAGCATCGACTTCAGAGTCTGCATTTTTAATTTCAAGTAGGATGTTCTCACCATCATAACTTTCTATGATATTGATCGATTTATCAAGTGGTTTGTTGTTTCTAAGCCAAGTAACTTCGGGAACGGGATTACCAATAACTTTGGCAACTAACTTAAAAGTATCTTTTTCCGGAACGATTACCTCTTGGAAACGTTTGGTGAATAATGGTGGTTCTGGAGCGCCACTTGGTACTTCTGAATTTTAAATATAACAAAAGTATTATAATAAAGAATCCATTTTATATCTATTTATTATTATTATAAAATTATAATCGTATTAAACAATTAGCAGCATAGCAATAATAAATACGTATCATACCCTTAACAAACGAGACACACTCGTTTATACAATGTTGAAAATTAATGTTGACTTGTGATATGGAGTTAACTGAAAGCATATTAGTAAAGAAGCGCTTTGTAAAATAGCATCCGATAACAAGCTGACATATTTTATTGCCTAAGAAGACATTAAAATAAAACGCAATTTAGTTTCTTTCAGTTTATATTTCTTTTATCTATTAGCTGGTCTATTAGTTGGTAGCAAAATGCCAATTGTCGAAAAGGCGAATGAATTAATATAACGAAAAAGTGAACATAACAAGAAAAGGGCACACTCTTTTCATAACCGTAACCGTTAGACTTACCGTAAGAATCAGAGTTGAAAGTTTAAAAAGAATAATCTTACATTTTTGACAATTCTTGATTGTAATTGACTAAGCCCGGATCTACAATAGAGTTTAAGTCTTAAGCCATAAGAAATGGACGAATCACAGTCAATTATTCTCCTCCTATTCAACTGTAATTGCAGGTCAATTTTGGCTTAAAGTCACTTATGGCTTAAAGCCTAAAACATCTATTGTAGATATAGATTAATTCTTATGATATGTCTTATGATTAAGGCTTGTAGAACACAGATCTTTGCATAAAGTCATAATGCAGTCTTCTTAATCCTATTGCTCGTGGCCGAGCGTGATGACTTAATTCTGTCATATGCCTGTGATGCGCTGGTTGTACACAATCATATGGAACCTACAGTTTAACGTCGATTTGGAATAACAAAATTTTGTTAAAGAAGTGTTCTTAGCAAAAATACTCTTGGGTTACCGCTTCCTTTTGCGAGAGACACGAACGTATAAAAATATTTTGGTTCTACTGAGAATTTCTAGCATAGTAGATCAGTGCGCTGTCTGATTTGTCAAGCTCGCTCTCAAAGCGTAAAAAAATCAATTAATCAGAATCTTTTATCTCATAGAAAAGAAGGAAATTAAGGATTTTGATTGGTTCATTTTCTTATGCATTATTGTATTATGCATTATGTAAGATTCTGTGCTTTCGTCTTGTTATGAAAAGTGTGCACGAGCACACAGCCTTGTGGCACAAGAAACGTAAGGCAATAAGATGTAAGCAATAAGTAATCACAATAGAGAACATAAGATGATAAGATCAGCAGTAGCAAATACAAAATGTTGATTTGTTTATTGTTCATTTCTTACTGCTTAAATTTCTTGTGTGTCTTAAAGCGAAACATTGAAATATCGCAATGCGAAGAGATAATTGTTCTTACTCTCAACAGTTAATGTAGCCCGAGTCTCAGCTTTGCCCATATCATTGATAGCTATAACCGAATATTCTCCACTATCTGCTAATTGAGGTTGGATCAAGTTTAATGTATTAACATGTCCGTCTTGCTTTAATTGTGAGCCCTTTAACGGCTTCCCGTCTTTGTACCATGTTATTTTCGGTGATGGATTACCGACTATTTGAGTCGATAAGACAATAGTTTCACCTTCTTTAACAATATAGGATTGTAACGGTTCTAAAATTTCAGGTGGTTCGTTTTTTCCAGTTTTCACCTGTTCCATCAGAAAATGTATTAATTATATTATGTAATATGTAAAAATGAAATTACAAATATATATCGACCAACCTTTACAGGAATATCGATAGTAGCCTCGCCCTCTCTGTTTTTAGCAATAATCTTGTATCTTCCTTCCTGCTTCTTTTGAATTTTAGTGAAATTTATGACACTGCAGTACATATGCATGTCACTTTCAGTTGCAACAATAATGTTCTGTTGACTAATTACTGGGACGTCTTTGTAATGCCATGTTATTTCTGGTTCTGGTACAGCGACCAATCGACATTCTAATATCACATCGTCACCTTCATTCACATATTTCGCTTTCGGCTTTCGTGAAAATGTAGGTGGTATACCCTCTAATATATCGGCTAAAGATGATTCTCTAAACAATTTAATAGTAATAATGGATAAGAATTATGTAATTAGAAAACAAAATATAATGTAATACAATATAATATAAAAGTTGTAATTATAAAAATTATTAGATTTGTAAAACACAAACACAGTATTTATTAGATGTACATAATTAATATTGTGCTTGTTTCGTAAATTGTAATTATAATAGAGAAAAGTCGCTGATACTGACATAGGTCTCCTAAGAAAATGTCCCCTATTATAAACTAATTTCATTGTATTTTATTAATATTGATAAAAATATCTATTTAATTTAGATAATTAAAGTAAAAATTCATAATTAATATGTTTGTGGCTTGTGTTTCTTTGTTTCTATGTAAAAAACATCAACTAAAACCAAATTTTACAAATGCAAAAATAAAATTCTTACGATTTTTTTGCAAATTACATCGTTTAAAAAATAGTGATTATATTATTACATCGTTATATATATATTTATAATTTCCTAAATTTGATTTATGTTCTTTTTTTTCCATAATATGATTTTAAATATAAAATTAGGGTGCAGCGTAAATCAGCACACCTGTAAGGCCGACTGTAAATTAACTTAATCTTCAGTGTTATGTTATAGACGGTATTCCAAAATTGACTGCAATAAACTAAAAACTTTAGTATAACTATGCGTGTAACATAAACTATGTGTAGATTTTTCTCATTGACAGTATAAATTTGCAATATAGCCATAATGTCTTATAGATAGTCTTATTGAAGCTGAAGATAACCGTATATTTATGGGAAAACTTTAAAAAAAAAGAAATTGTGCGTTACACGTTTGCATTTTGTAGAATAGTATAAGTGCATGTAAATTAACAAAAAATATTTTATATCGAAGTGAAAAAATTCTAAAAATTCTTACATACATTCACTTGTAAGTGCTTTGTACAGATAACTTCTGTGAAAGAAAAAAAATAAAAATATGTGATATATAAATAAAATATTTATTACTTATGACTGTCTTCTGTGTCACTTTTTTGTTAGACGCTCATTTTATCTTACTAAAAAGATTAATTTTTGCAAAATTGTAAGCGTTGCTGCTATTATGTATTATAAAAACTGCTATATATTATTTAATAGAAAATATGTTCTCTAGTTCGTATTTATGTTTCTAAAGTCTTTTTTTTAATTTTTATTTGTAATTGTTTAAGAAATATTGTCCAAAAACAAAGTCGATATCAGCGGACTTTTTTCTATTAATATATAACTAATATTTAATTACAATACATATCTAATTACAATATATACTAAAAAAATAATTGATGATTTTGATCAAAGTAATTTATCCGAGAGAATAAGAAATACGTACCTCGAAAGACTTTTTCTCGAGAGACCAGTAACATCTGATCCGTGATCTGACAAAGGAGCTTCGACAATAAGCTCAGTAGTACTGGACGCAAATCCTGCAGCATTTTTCGCAACGCAGGTAAAAGTGCCGGCATCTTCGGGAAAGACTTCTCTGATTATCAAGGTAGCAACGTTATCCTCGTCATAATATATTTGAAAATCAGTAGATGGTTTGATAATAGCAGTCTGGCGGAACCAAGTTATTTGTGGTCTTGGTATGCCTTCTACTTGACATTCGAATTGCACGGTGTAACCATCTAATGTATGAATTGGTTGTAATTTTTCAATAAATCTTGGTGCTGAGGCTTTTTCTCCAGGGGCAGGCTCTAAAAAAGTTAAATATATGATATGAATATTTTAAAAGTTTATGTCAAATTTCAAGTTGCAAGTGCATATTATGAAAGTAGTGTGATGTGATTAATAAACTTTATCGCATTGTTTTATCAAATTTATCAATTTTGTAAATGTTATTTACTTTCAAAGATTGGCAATTTGTCAATCTTTTCATGCAATTTTCGTTGCAAGTAAACAGTGTAACGTGCTTCATCCAATAAATATTGCGCCGGTACCCAACCTTTTTCTTCGGTCAAATGTTTCTTTACAAACCACCAATCTTGATTAGTATGATCTGTGGAAAATAAATATTAATTAGAGATGTTCTAACAATTGTGTACATGTATATGTATATATTGTATATATGTATATATAATATGTTAGTTCAGGGTGTTTCATTTTAATTGATAACTAATATATCTCGAGAATGAGACATGAGATTGAGAAAAATTTCAGACGAAAATTATATGACATAGAGAGGGACATGAGATAATATCATTGGTTTGACCTTGAGTGGCGTTGTCAAGATCAAGGCAAGATCACTTTGAATTTTTGAAAGTTCTCATTTTTCATTATATATAGCTCTCATATTCTTGAGAGCTTTTCAAAAAATTATAATAAAATATTTTTTGTAAAGCACTTTTCGAGTTATAAAACTTGAAATATTCTATTACAATATTGTCGGCATTAGCATTATTCAAGATGTTTAACCGACAGCTAAAATCTTTCAAACGGTCATCTTGAATAATGTCGGCGGTATTGTAATTTTCTTTATAACTTTAATCTTATAATTAATTTTATATCGCAAAGTACTTTATGAATAAATATTGTATTTTATTAGAATGTTTTAAAAAGCTCTCGAGATAAGGTACAAAAATATGTAATGAAAAAAGGAGATTTTATTAAAAAGATTTAAAGTGACCTTGCCCTGTTGCGAAATTCTCTAAACGTTTTATCGACAATTGTTGCTATCATTAATTAACGATAGCCAATAAGATCGCGCTTTCTTTCAGGATTGTCTTGCCATTGGCTATCGCTAGTTAATGATAGCGATAATTGTCGATAAGACATTTAGACGTTTCCATCAATGTAGATTAACTTTAATTTCAGCTCAACTTACTCTTCGTCTTTTTCTATTTCTAAAGATTAGAGATTAAATCGAGATTAAAATTATTCTACGGTAGAGATTAAATCGAGATTAAAATTACTCTCTGGTGGAAATGAATATTAGAGAATCCCGTTACTGATCTTGACAATGCCGCTCATGGTCAAACCGATGGTACCATCTTATGTCCCCTTCGATGTTTCTGGTAAAAAAATTTCGCTAAAATTATTCCATGTTTTGGAACATTTCAGTAAAATTGCAGAAAATTTACTAAAATTTCACTGAAAATAAATTTTTCAGCTAACACTGAAAAGTCGCTGAAATTGAACTGAAATTTCTCTGAAATTTTTCTAAAATTTTGTTGAAATTTCTCTAAATTTTATTGAAATTTTAGTGAAAATGAATTTTTCAGCTAAAAATCGTTGAAATTAAACTGAAATTTTTCTGAAACGCTGAAATTTTGTCGAAAAGTGCTTCAAAAGGTGGAATAATTTCAAGGAAATTTTTTCATCAGGAGTCACATAACTTTAGTCTGAAATTCTTTTCGATCCCACGTCTCATTCTCAATATATTAATGTGTTAATTAAAATGAAACACTTCGTATGTAAATATGTATTAAAGTAAATGTGTGTGTGTGTGTGTGTGAGGCGTGTGCGTGTGTGTGTATGTATGTGTTTTGGTGGTAACATTTTATGAAGAATAAAGATTCTTACCGATAATATAAATTTTTTCTCCTTCTACTAAATTAATAGCTTCTTCTGTTTCAGCAATATAAGAACAAATTGAAAACATTGTATCACCTTCTCTAACAACATATTCAAATTCCTCCACTGAAAGACATTAATGAATTATTTAAAATAGAATATAATAAAAAATATTACATTAACGTAAATAGATATCATTAAAATGAACCTTCTTCG